ACTGAACCCCCAGTTGCTCCCGGTGATGTCACCGGCGTGTGAATGCGTGAGTGCTTGGGAGTGCGAATGGGTGAATGGCCGAATAATGTGAAAGCGCTTTGAGTGTGCTGTAAAAGCATAGAAAGGCGCTATACAAGTATAAGACCATTTACCATTTGCACTGGCAAAAGGTGCGACTCAACAAATCTTTTTTGTTTGTCAAAAGATGCATATGAAGAGCATCTCCAGTCACAGTAAGTGTGGCATTTTATATATTTTAGCACATTCTACCATACAAACAGCTGTCTGAATGAACGGATGGAGAGATGCAATACTAAAAATACTGCACATGTTCAGTCAGTACTTTTGAAGTTTCAGATACGTTTTTGTGAGAGGAGTTATTTAGAGAAAGGTAATGGTATGTTTTGTTTAAAGTTAAGATTCTGGTTTGATATTAAAGTACAGCCTAGATGGTATCACATGCTGTGCACTGTTTCATACACTGTACAAAGAACTTCAAAAACTACATTTTCCATGACATCAAGCATCAACCTGATCAAGTACAACTCCTTATAAGTGCAAATGTGCCGATCTGATTCTAGACAGCTCTGGGTGTATGTGTGGTTTATGAACAGACTCTAGGCATCGCTCGGTTTGTTCAAGGCCGTGTGAGAGAAAGTGAAAAAAGTGAGAAGGCACTGTAGGGCGGACAGGCATGCGACCAAGTCCCCCATCTCCCCATACACACTCATTCTCTCCTGCACTCATGGCCCCCATGCGCTGAGTTGAGCGGGCAGTTGCAACCCAGTGGAGCGGCACAGGGCAGTGGGGGGGAGTAGGGGGAGAAGGAGAAGAGGGTGAGGTGCAGAGAGGGCGAGGGGCGGTGGCGAGGAGGGAGGGCTACTGGGGCGATGCTGGGAGGTCAGTGACGGTGCAGTCAAGCGTTGCCAGTGTGCCTCTCGCCCTCCCCTTTCCCTCTTGTTTCTCTCTCCCCTTCCTCCTCCCTTATTCACTCTCTCTCAGTGTTTGGATAGGCTCACCAAGGCCGCCACAGGGGAGCTTTATGGACAGGTAACGACTGGGCCTTTGTCTCCCCAGGCAAACACAGGGGAAGTGGAGTCGAGCATGAAGTTATGGTTGGTAAATTAAACTGAATCCTGACAATAACTAGAATCTCACATGCCATTTAAAGTTTGACACAAATGCACTAGGACAGTTAATTACATATACAGTACTCCTTGATGACGTTTATGATGTACACAACTTTACATGCACTTCATTTAAGTAATCAAGGTGTTGATCATTTGAATTATGAGCAGTTACGACATGCAGGGGAAAACCCAGAGAAACTCAGATGAACGTTCTTTATCCTTTCAAATAAAATCCAGCCAATAGGCTTCTTTTGGGGTTTATCTATCTTTAATCTCTCATATTGACTTTTTAGCACTTTATTAGTGTTAAAAATATTCTAAAGGTTTACTTTGGATTGTATATACAGTACACACAGATTATAATGATCACCAAACTCAGAAATGATCTACTTTCTTACAACCACATCACGAACCAACGTTAATATTATCAATTTTACTTTCCTGTATTCTTGTGCTTATATAAATGCCTACGAGTGTATTTATGAATGTTTGACTGCAAAACTATGGCAGCACAGAACTAACTGCAAAGGCCTGATGTGACAGGGCAAGCCTGCAACTATCAGAGAAAATCACATACACACACACACACACACGTTGGGTGGAGGATTTCAGAAGTATCGCTGTTGGCTTTGTCACCACATTTGGCTCATAGAGAGACTAACTTATTTTAGTTGTCCACACCCATACACACACATGCATTCATTCAATTTGTAAATATGCACTTTAAACACTTTAAGAAGCTCACGCAACAGCAAATACATAAGCACAAGCTAACACCCATACGCACACATTTAACTCTCTATCCTTTTGGCATCTGGCAGAAATGGACAGCAGTGGCAGCTAATGGCTAATTTACTAAATTAAACTGTTTAATTTAATTATTCATAGATCGAAAGACAAGAGGCATTAAAGTGTTATTAGGCAGTTACTGTATTTCCATGTCTAAAAACATATTCATATTTCCCAACTGGATTAAAATCCACAGTGAATTATCAAATTATCAGAGGCTCACTCAGTCAATAATTTGTCCGATACACAGAGGGACGCACACAAAAGTGCAGAAATGCACTCAACACAATCATGGTTGTGCACACCTCTGGGCCAATCACAGATTCCACTGTTACCATAGCAACCTAGCCTGAGCAACATGCATGCAAGCACGCATACAAACACACAGCATGCACAACCCATAGCAGCATACAGTACATAGTTGATCTATTAAGCCAACTCCATCACAAACTAGCTCAACTTCTATTATTTCACTCAATATGGTGCACTTTAATTTTAATTATCTTTTGCCCATTAACTCTATTGGAAATGGCATTATGAAAATGAGATCATAATTTATATGCAAAAGTGCACAAGTCTGTGTTAGTGCATAGATGTCTGAGTATGTGTGTGTTTAATTCCCCTTTGCAAAAGAAGCCCTTGATTGGAGGAGGTCTTTACGAGCCGGAGGAGGGGAGTGTAATTTCCTCTCGGCCTCCGCCAGTTCCGCCAGAGGAAGCCCACCCCCCCCGGGAGGAGACACACACACACACACACACACACACACACACACACCCGCACAGCAAGCCAGCCAGTCATCGAGAGCATACAAATAACCTGCACGCATTAAGATACAGATACAAAGTAACACATACATACTGTATGTACAGACAATAACACAAACACACAGTTACATATATAAGGTTATACAGACAATACTGTTTACATATAAAACATGACACATATGGGGCCAGACACACATAATACGTAACATCAACTTCAAAGAGCAACTTTCCAAACTTGATCAGCGTGTAATAACGGGCTAAAACAGAAAGACAACACGCCCATACAGCTAGCATATCAATCATAAAGTGACTTGATTTCAGGATGTGGAGGAAAAACATTATCATCATATTTAAATTCTAAAGTGCTGGGTGTAACAACAGTTCAGTTTGTGTCATGTCAGTTTAAATAGCTTGTGTTCAGGCCTACACAGCAAATTAACTTCCATGAGTTCTGAGCAGGCAGGTGAAACGTTTTCCGACCAGCTGCTGCACTTTTTTTTATGATCGCTCGCCTCATACCTATAGCAAAACAAGATCACTCGAAGTTCAGCTGTCAAACTTTCAAAATATATGTCTGCATGGGGTAATTTGTGCCAGTAGGCAGGCAAGCAGGGTGTGTGTGTGTGTGTGTGTGTGTGTGTGTGTGAGAGAGAGAGAGAGAGAGAGAGAGAGAGAGAGAGAGAGAGAGCACTCATCAGTGAGGGAGTGCTGGCTGCCATGCCCTGAGGGGAGTCAGTGTGGAGAGAAGGAGACGCCAGTACAGGCCATTCAAGTCCCACTGCCTTGCCGCCTCTGCCTACCTCCTCACATGGAACTGCCAACATACTTAGTCTATGTGTGTGCGTGTGTGTTGGTGCGTTAGACTTCAGGCTTCACCACCAGACAAGAAAAGGAAGAAAGGGAGAGAGGGAGAAAAGACTGCAACAACAACCTTAAGGCTCTCATATGCCTGCTTACGTCAATAACAAAAGTTCTATTCCGTCACTGCTGTAACTGAAGTGGAACTGTTCAAGCCCTAACAAGCCAGAAGTCAATCACTCTGATGTCTGTAATGAGCCAACACACTCATATTCATACTCACATTCTCTTGTGTAAAAAATAAGATGTGTGCTTTTCTACTATCTGTTTCCTCTGCCCTCTGCTGCCCTCAGGTAATTCGATTTGGCTGAACCCTATGTGTTAGTGTACAGGTCTTCATTCTTGGCTGTGAAAAATGTCACCAGTTTAGCTGTATCACTCAAACACCTCCGGCTTATCAACACCGCCTTTGCCTTGCGTGCCACGCACACAATAATCAGCAGTAGCCACGCTCAGTAGCTTGCTAAGCCTCTTACACCCTTCCCACAAGATTAGTGCTTGGGAGCAACGACAGATGCGCTCCGTGGTGATAAAAAACACACACACACACACACACCCAACCCACTGCACCTGTGTGAACAGATTTGGCAACGGTGAGCCGGCAGCGTGCCTGCTCAAAGCTGACACACATACACATGCAGACACAGAGTGGTGATGCCGTAATCGTGACACACCTGCAAGGCCTCGAGGTTTGGCACCGCGCCCCTGGCCGAGGCCTGAGGGAAGCACTGGGCAAACAAAAGTTTAACAGCCAGGTGAGGAAGCTGATTCAATGAGACAGAAGAGTCAAGCCAATGATGCCTAACGTCCAGCAGCCACACTGAACAGTATAATGCTTCCATATAAAAAGCTGTTTGATACTGTGTCTGTGAAAGACTGAAAGTGGATCTGATTTTCATGCTGAGGAAAATTATCATCAAAGTTTGCCTGTCGGGTCTTTACCATCAAGGTTACAAAGAAAGACAGTGCTCCAGCATATACCAATATGCATCCACTGTGTCATGCACATAGAGAAGGGTAACACAACACATCACGATAAAATGTAGACTTGCTTTAACACAAGTTAAACTAAATTTAAACCACAGACTGAGGAAAATAATTACTTCACTTGCTATATCCAAACAAGTACCCATTCTTTAACTGAGAAAAAAACTATATTACTTCATACTTACCATATTTTACCACAACAAATACTAGACAACATCTATTCTTTAAAAAAATTTGCATCATATCAGTTATATCAGTGTTGCCTGCATCCACTGTGCTCACCATCACCAGTAAGGAGTATTCTTGACCACCACAGTTACCAATCCAGCATCTTTCAACCCTTTCAGCTGCAAAGAAGTTGTCCTCAAGTCAAATAGAAGGTACATTTCCTAAGTATCTTCTTCTAGTTATAACATTTACACAGCAAGCAAAGAAAAAGGCACCAGTAAGAGAGAAGATAAAAGAATCTTACCACTGGAGATGAAATTCGACAGCCAGGACAATCACAGATTGGAGGATGCACCTGCAAGATTCCTTTGGACATAAGAGTCTTGAGACTTTTCCCTGAATAAAGAAAGAAAAAAAACAAAACAGGAAACCTTCAGTGAATATACAGTATACCACCATATTCTCTAGCCAGTAAACCCATTTCCTCCATGACACAGCATGTCATGAGATGTAACCTACTTGCTCGAGAATGGGCCCTTATTTCAGCCCATCAACTCAGGACTCAAAAGTTTTCAGTACAAATATTTTCAAAAATCAGCCAATAGAAACAGTATATAACTGAAGGAATCAGTGCCTACAGACAGACTTGCCTTGTCTCTCTACAGTTTCAATGAAGTTTAAATTCGACCCACAGTCCAGTGTGGTGAGTGTGAGAAACAGCAGGCTACTGTCATCTGTCTATAAGAACTATTAAATTCTCAGGTTATCATTTTTGACCTGGGAGCAACACCCTCCCCCACATATCTTAACTGGTGTCAGTTCTGCCTCAGTAACCTTGTGTTTGTGTGTGTGTGTGTGTGTGTGTGGTGAGACAACAGAATGCACCATGCGCAATTATTGCAGAAGTAAATGTCAACATAAAAAATACCGGAACAACATAACTGTATTCGTGCTGTCAAAGTTATTATACAGAACAATCTAGGACACTCCTACAAAATATATAGCAGCTATACATTAAATTTTTAGTTGAAAGTTTGTATTGGTTGTAAATGTATCACATTCAACACTGACACTGACGTGGAATGGGCAAACCAAACGCTAATTTCAAAAACGTCTCGCTAAAACTTAACAAGCGACGTGTGAAAGTGTCAACACCCATGCACACGCGCAGCTGCACTTAAATGAACAAGGAATCCTGTAGTGAGGACAAAATCACAGTAACGGTCGCCCATCGAGTATCCATGTCTAACTTTTCACCTCAGTCCCGGTGCAGCCTTCTCCAGATGCCCCGGTGTGGTGTATGATCGCAGCACAAATTCTGTGCCAAAGCCTCGGAGGTATGTGGACGATATGCGCCTTTTCTCATCCGTCTCCTTACGCACTGACTGCTGTAACCCTTTCACTCCAAAACTCAGCAACGAACAACTGGATGCAAGTTTGTACCCAGAATAAGCTGCGACTAAAAGTGTCCCGCTCTACCCACGAACCGTGAGGACAGTGAAGGTTGTTCTTACCTTTGTGTCTAATACTCCGTTTCCAATCTTTGGCGGTCTCTCGTCCACTGACAAACTGGAACTCGTTGGGGGTGAGCCACTCACCCCTGTATTTAATTGAGGGTCCCTTACTACCTTGACACAGTTTACTGATATAAAGCAAAGCCTTGTTTTCCCCGCACTCCACCTCGATACACGGCTCCCCGTTGTCGAAGAAAGGCTGAAAGTCAGGGATGGAGGAGAACCTCTCCAGCATTAAGTCGTCCGTGTGATGGTGGAGGTGCTGATGATGAAGCGCCGACTCGTGAAGCCCCAAGTACGCGCGGTGATGGGCGAAAATGTGGTCGTACGGCGGAGGATGCGGGGTCACCACGGGGATAGCAGTGGCATTTAAAGGAGCCAAGTATTCGGACTGGTTGAACGCAGTCAATGCCATGTCGTCTCCATCTAGCCTCTCCTTTTTGATGGCAGGCATGTTAGTGAGAGCCCAGCGCCTGTAACAAGTAAAAAGCTGCTCGGCCGATCCAACTTGACCGTACTCACTCTCTGTGAGTTGGGCTGACCCAGACTTGGAGACGCTCCGCTTGGTTTTACGCAGAGCCCCCGTGTCGCCGTGAGACAGCGGTCTGGTGAAGTTGCCGGATAGATTCCCATTCAGTAGTTTCCAGCTCGCAGCGGCAGCAGCGCTCTCCGCCAGCCTCACAGGTCCTACCTCCCACATTTAATCACACTCGCTCTGTTAATACATGACATGCTGGGTAACCCTGAGCCCCGGACATTATGTCACCGACGGTGATCATTACCAGTCGCCCCCTCTCTCTCTCCCTCTCTCTCTCTCTCTCTCTCTTTGCCTTTGGGGAAATGAGGATGAGCGATTTTTTAATTTTTTAATGGTAAAATTCGGAATCGGTATCGCATCATTAAAAAAAAAAAAGCAACGCACATTAATTCAGTTTTGGGAAGTTTACACGTGACCAAGATACAATTACACAGCCAGTGAAGACAATGAAAAAGAACAGATAATAATAGTTCTCCTCTTACTTAAATCAATGTGGAAAATGGCATTAACCAGAACCATAAGCCACATAGGCTTATGTTGACATAGGCTAAGGCTTGAGTAATATTTTACATTAATACAGCTGAAACTTTGGAAATACTTGGTTTTAATCTCTGTGTGTGTCGCTGAAGTCACGCTGAAGTTCACAGACCCAGACCAAACAAGATTTGCACTCTCCGCCGCTTCTCAGCTTGGCCCATTTAAACAGCGGAGGCTCGGCGAGAGTCACAGAGAGGAAGGGGGACTGCGAGGGACGGCGCCTCGGGGCGCAAAATGGAGGAACAACAGTAGTGTGCATGAGAAAGTGGACAGTCATTTCCACTCAAGTACACGAAACTCGCCACATATATATACACAGACCATAAAATAAAACACTGCTGAATCTTTTAGCACTACAGTTCAGGTATAGTTCCCAAAAATTACTTACTTGATCTCTTGTGATCATTCTAAAAGCAACAGTCTTAAACCTGGTGTATCAGAACCGCACAAAAGAGACGGCTTGGATCACAGACAGGCCACCAGCTCTACCCATGATGTCAGCTGCAGGTCCACACACTGGGTGTGTTACGTTCCCCTTGCGTGTCTAAATTCAGCCATCTATTTGTTATACTTCACCTACAGTGTCCCCTCCAGCCCCACCAGAATACTCACCGGCTGCAGCTGCTTTGTGAGCCACTGTTGAAACTACTCAAATGTGTCAGCAACAGTTAAACGCCTCCACAAAATGTTTACACAACTTTAAGATCATAAAAAACTTTAAAAAAAACATATTTAAGGGTTTTTCCTTTCAGAAGAGCTCAGTAAAAGCTGCTGACAATCGAGTGCAACCACATTTTTTGGTATAGAAAGTTTCAAACAAGTACATTATGTGGGTAACTACTACTACTACTACTACTGCTGCTGCTTGTTGCTTTAACTGGAGTAAAACCTAAACTTGGAATCACCTTTTCGGAAACCATTCCTCTCCACAACATCTGCAGGGCTTGTTCCCCTGAGCTCCTGGAGCACATCTGACCCCCATCAGTGGAGAACCACCCAGGTGGATCTGCCACCAACACATGGAATAGCCATTCAAGCAGCAGAGGTGGGGTCCAAAGCACTGTGTGTCAGGGGCATATAAATCAGGCCAAACAGCCTCTGCCACACACAGGAAGAAGGCACGCCACACCACAGGCGGAAGCGGTGCATGAGAAGGCCCTAGACCACAGCCTGGCCAGAACTGGTATTATGCTTAACGCCAGGACCATGCAGGCACACACACGCACACACACACACACAGCAGACATTTACTGAAAGGCTTGCCAGCTACAGTGGCAAGACAATGACAGACAGTAGACTGGCAATTCTCTTTTTGGAGCTGAGGAGCTGTGATGTCTCATGGGAATTTAATGAAATTAGTGGGTTTGTGGGTCAGGAAGAGACCAAACAGGTTTTACACTCTCAAAGGAAAACAACAGTGACCTGACAGCATTTATCTTTTACCTTTACCTGTTACCTTTAAAGCGAACACAGCCTGAAAAATGAAATCAAATGGCAACATGTTTCAACTTAACACTAACGTCACTCCCCACACATTGGTGAATACAGTGATCAGCAGCAGTGACATAAATCATGAACTGCTGACATTTATGGTGTGTGTTTACAAAGCCATTTCTAGGAAGTGGAACACTACATTTCAGATGAGAAGTTGTTTGATTGTCTCCTTATCAAACCAGCCCTCACAATGCCGAAATGTCTCAGTGGAAACCTCGCGAACACGTGCGTAGGCGCTGGAGGTTGCACCACTGGGAGAGCCCTGATGAAACTAGTCATAAAGGGGGCACCCATGCCCACGCCTACACCCACTCACCATCCAACTGTGACTCATCTTTGGTGGCTCATCTCGGAGGGGTTCCCCAAACTTATACAGTGACAACACTTCAACTTTCACATCATCAAAAACTGGCCTGTGTTAACGGACTAGATTTTTCCATCAGCCTTTGTGTCTTTTTCATTAAAATGCTTGATGCGATGGGGAAACCTTGTTTAACCTTTCTACTTCATCTGACCTTTACTTACTTCTTGCCTCTTTTATTACACGGTACAAGAGCCCAGGATATAAAAACTAACACTGAAAACCCCACATCTGTTCTACAACCCACGGATTTACAATGAAGTAGGAAGTCCTGATATCAATATAGCAAATACTACAGTGAACTGGTATCTTACTATAGCCAGTTACTTCTGTTTATATTGCTTTTACGTTCTCACATGGTACAACAGAGTTTTTCTTCTGGTCCTAGAGTTTAGTTGCTTTTTAGACAATTTACATTTTAAAGCTAGAGGACACTGGATTCTGATAATAACAGTGTGCTTTGTAATATTTAAAATAATATGATGGCTTGAGATTTCACAGCAAATCTGATTATGCCTAAAATAAAAAAGTGCATCTCATACACTAATAATCGGAAACATTAAATTCTTATTTTATTTTATAACGCAGTGATATAATATACTTTTCATTGCTTCAGTCAGTGATCAGGAAGCCTCTGAACAAGTTCCACAGAAGTAAATGCCGTATTCAGTGACTGGTTTCAAATACAGAAGTGGGGAGTGACAGAAGTAGCAGAATGACTTATACCAGTTCAGAGACAATGAGGAGATGTGACTCAAAATGCAACAATACAAGTGGCTGTTGATAAAGATTCGTGTCCTCCTCTTTCAGTTTGTCTCTGTGTCAAGTGTGATTAATATGGTGAGTCTAAAATACAAAACAATAACTTACATTCCCAAAAGCAAAAAAAAGAGAGCTGAGAGTTTTAGAATGATTTTTTTTTCTTTTCAGGTGGAACAATTTCATTAATATTGAGATAAGTCCTTACCTGGTCCCTTCCAATGTGTTATGACTGTTGTGTTACACTAATGGCATTCAGATATGGCCACAAACATCAAAAGTAGTTTCACATATCCACATATTTAAGCACCATTTTAATCCCCCTTTCATTTTTGCCAGTTTATATCCAATATACCTTTGAAAAGATGGCTTCCATACGCATTGTAACTGTATTAGAAACATTTTTATCCTTTGCACTGTGGTTCACGTTTTCATTTGTCAGTAAAAGGCTACCGTCTACAGCTGTTGATAAAACTATAAAAATGAAAAAGATTCAAAGTGCTAGTGTGTTAGTGTTTGACTGTACTTTAAAAGTTGCCATTTTGAATTACATTATTCTTTAAAGCATGGAGCCACTGTATTAAGATACAGTGATGAATACGTGTAGATACAATATCCTGCCAAAAACTATCTAGCAATATACTGTGGATTCTATGGATGGTTGTATCATGAACTATCATGGACAAAAAACATCCCGATTAATTATTAATTAACAGTTAAATGTACAAAATATAGATTTAAAGCGCTTTGGCCAGTGTAACACACTGTGAGAAAGCGCTATATAAATACAGTCCATTTTACCATTTTTTTTACCATAGATTATAGAAAAACAGCACATCCTTCTACTGAAAAGCTGCAACCTGTGAAATGCTTGAGACTTTCTGTGATACATTTCTGGCAATTAATTTCATGCTGATGTAATAATCGTGATAGTATGAGGCACTTTGTGACTGAGATCAGTCTGCAAAACATCAGGGACGGTTTTCGATGAGGCACAATTTGTGTCAATCCCCAAAACCGTTATCATTATTATGTCCATTCCTTCCCGTGATCGTCCGACGGGAACCCCCTTAGAGCGGCCTCTGCACCGTTGTGGGCAGCGGCCCCGGAGCCGCAGCGCTGCCGGCGGGGGAGAGAGGTAATAAATAACCCAGGGAGAGGAGCGGAGACCGCCGGGCGGTGCACAGTCTGACCTGACAAATACTCACTGGAAAACCATCAGAGAGCGAGAGCCCACCCCTAGCGCTGGGAGCCAGCCTTCCAGACATGAGCTGCAAAATATATAGGCCTGGCCCTATTGGAAGAAAGAAAGGAAGACAGGAGCGTCTCCGTCTCCCCCGCTCATCCACCGCCGGAGACACGGCGAGAGTAATTAACAATTTAAAGCACAAGTATGATTTTTTTCAGAGGACTCACGCTTTGTCCTGTTTCCACACAAATATACGAGAAGATAAACACACTGGAGAAAATTCAATTTGCCTGAGGTGTTTAAATCAATTAATGTGTACAGTATATACCCACCAGTTCTACTCCTGTAGACTTTTTGGGAGCCTATAAAACATCCAAACATGCTTTCTGTTGTTGATCACCGTCTCTGTGCTTCTGACTCAATATTTTCCCACCTACCTCCAGTGGTATGTGGACAGGCAAACAGTATTGTACCTGCATATGATTCCTGTCATAGACCAAATACAACGGAGGTTTAACGCGTGGTACTCAAAGCATTAAAAATGATATTTTAACAGTTAAACATTGTTTAATAGGGTGTCCTTGTCCCATGATAATCCACAAATCTGTCAACAGGTGTCACGGTTTTTATTTTTTTGTATTAGATGGTTGACATATTGTTGTTGAATTGTTTTAAAAGATCATTTTCAGAGCTAAGAGCACCTCAAATTTTCATTCACCTAAGTTGTATTGGTGTGCTAGCAAAGAATCTCAGAGCTGGACATCTCAGCTGGAACACTGATATTGTACTGTCAGGAAAAACTATGCAAAGACTGTAGTTATGGC